AAAATTGCTGTCAAATTGATATTTGCTTCCTGTAATAATACTGTGAAACAAGGGTATCAGCATGTAATTCACCAAGAAATTTGACTAGAAATACATGGTTAACCGTTATATTTCTTTTTTTCTCTCACTGAGTTTATTGATAGTTTTTAAGTAGACAGTACAGTTACATTTACCATTGGGCTGTTGTACCTGTACATGACAGATCTTGGTTCTCATTTTTTTCCCCATACCCCTGCCCTCCCTCCTCCCCTCTACCTCCCCTATTTACAAAAATGTTGTTTCCATTTTTTCATTTTCTCATATCTTTTCTTTTCCCTTATTTCCTTTCCCCTACCCTTATCACTTCCCCTACACCTTTAGCCCTTTTCTTCCTATTTCACATTGTCAGTTATAAAATTTGGATCTTATTTACACTTTTAGTTTTTCACACCAGAGAAACTGTTCAGTATTTACACATGTGTGTCTTATTTATTTCACTTACGAGTATGGCCTCAATATGCATCCATTTTCCTATAAATGACTCTAGTTTCTCATTCTTTATGGCTGATATTTCACTCTGAAATTAACCAATGCAAAATCCAAAGAATGCCATTTTCTGCTGTGAAATTGGCAAAGCAAAAGTTGATAAAGATGTCAAAACTGGGACATAAAGGCCAGGCCTGCAGATGTCCAATGGATCACTAAAAAAGGATTAATGCTTGGTCTCTCTCACTCTGTTTTATGTCTACCTCCCTCCTGACCGTAACACTTTGGATCAGAGCTCTGCTCAGCATTACTCATATTCATGTATATCTCTTAAGTATCTGTCTAAAAACTTGTAAGACAAGGATTATTACTTTTAAATTTACCAAACCTATCTCATCACCCTTTAAGACTGAAGACGCTGATTGAAGAGCAAGTAAGGTGTTTCCAAGATTTTCCAGGAAATTCAATTTCTAGCTTTTCCAATGTCCCTTTCAGACTCTCTAGAGGTTGCTCCCTTAAGTCTCTGGTCATTTTCCCAAACAGGCAGTCACCTCAGATCCTAGGAAAAGCAGAGCCTGTCAGACATGGCTATCATGAAGGAACTGAGGTCAGTCTTCTGGAGCAGGACTAATCATCTCATGAAAACCAGGTTTTCCCCTTAAAACAAAAGGATTTCAGGGTGTTACCTGACAGACTCAGTCCGAAGATAATAATCGACCAGACCACAGCTTGACTGGGATTACCTGCTGCCAGCTGAGCAAATCCCTAGCTGTGTAAACCCCCAAACATTGCTTCTGTTGTCCTCTGCTACAATACCTCAAAGATCCCATCAATTCCTGAAGACATAGGTTGAGATTCTTCATTGGTCTTTCTCAGGGGGCCACACTAAAGCTCCTCTCCAACCCTTCACTACCTTTCATCTTCTTGATTGGTGTTTTGCGTTGGGTGGCTAAAATTGGTCTGTTGGGACCCCCAGGCCCAGGGCTTTTGTCATAAAAATGTAATAATGATAAAATAAAACTGGCTGTGACCAGCATGGCCTTTTAGCCATGAAACTGACAGATGCCCATGTAAAAGCAATTTGTTTATTCTAATATGGTTCATCATTTTTTATTTTTCTGATGTTAGAGATGGAACTCAGGTCCTCGTGCATGTTAGGAAAGTGCTGTATTACTGAGATATACCTCCGGCCCCAAATCTGGTCATATTAAAGGAATCTTCTCAGGTAGCTCTTTGCATCTAAGCTGATAATGTGTAGAATGCAGTGACTTGGTACATAAAGCCCTTCAATGCACCTTGCTTTCCTTCTTCTTTGGGGTCCTCAAATGTCTTCCTATTATATCTATTCTCTCCCTGGATGCTAAGTAACTGCTTAGACATTATCCTGATTGTTTCTTAGAATGTGTAGTCTTAGCAGATCACACCATATCTGAGACAGGGGCCAGGGATTTAACTATGGTTTGCCTCCTGCTTCACCAGCACAAAGTCCCAACTTTGATCCCCAGTACCAAACAAAACAAAACAAAACAAAACAAAAAACAAAGCATATTCCTGAGGCAAAATGTCTTATATATACAGGGGATAAGACTTCAAAAATGTTCTTTGACATACAGACTATTTTGAGTTAAAACTATTGAGAACCAGCAAATGCAGAAAAAGCTCAATAAACAGGATACAAAATTTCCTTATAAGGAAAATTTCCATTTGTAGAACTGTCTCTCTCTCTCTACTGCTCCAGGAAAAGCTGCTCTAAACCAACTGTTATCAACACAGAAGGTACAAATCTGAACACCAAGCCTTATTAACAAATCTTGTTTTATATTTTTCTTGATCACCTTCCCATAATGTGTCTCCCCTACTCAGAAGCCTCAGACCCCTTTTCCCTCAGCCTAAAATGACACATAAGCTTAAATTCCAGATATCCTCTTAGGTTACTCTTTTTTGGGTGCCACACGTTAAATGCATGATGTACATGTTAATAAACCTGTTTTCCTCTTGTTAATTCACTTTTTGTTAGAGTCCAGCTGAGAGCCTAAAAGAAGTTAAAAAGAAAAGGTATTATCCTGTTCTTAGGCAACAATGGTTGAAATACAAAAGAACTCCCAAACCTTCTCTTGGGGCCTGTAGAAGGGACTCACTGAGACTCATGTTGATCTGGACCAACATACAAAATGTTAGGTCTGGGTGAACTGGGATGAAGGGGAGAGAAAAAGTAAATAAAATTACAGCTTCCAAAGGGCTTTGAAGTGTTAGAAATCCTGTTGCTAGTCACTTCTTTCTTGTTATTCTAATCCTCATAATTCTAATCATGCGAAGGGTGGACACAACACACAAAAGAACACATCATTTTAAATAGCTGTTAAAAGTAAACCATAGAAAAGAGCTTGGATGTTTTTCTGCTGGCATGGGGATGGATGGGGACACTTCGGCATGGGCACTTTCGGGACTAATATGTAAACATCCCACAAGAGTATAGGGCAATTGTTCAGCAGACAGAAAATGCTATTTATCATGTGTTAGATAAATAAGAAGGGCAGGGTTCATTGTGCGCATGTGTGTGTGTGTGTGTGTGTGTGTGTGTGTGTGTGTGTTTCTGGGAGTAACACAACTCTATAAAATGAATAGTAACTTACAGGATCCCCTTCCTGACCTGCCTTATTTTACCTTTGGACTATAGAAATGTTAGCTTCTCAGTACAAATGCTCTTATCCAGCTCCTCTGTCCCACTGAAAATGATATGGGCACCAACCTAGCTTAAGGCTGTATTCCTGGGATGACCATGGCCCACTTAATGTGCCTGCCTGAAAACACAAAGACATGAAACTCAAGGTTGCCTAAAAAACTTAAAATTTATTTTAACCAGCAACTGATAGGTCATTCCTTTTCTAAAGTGTGAATGGAAAAAGCTTAGGAAGATGAATATGTATCTCCTACACCACAGAAGTGTTGTTCACAAGGACCAAAAAGGCATTGCTTTAAAGTGTTGTCATCAGGAAGGACAGGGACTCTGTCTCCCTTGCTCCATGGAGGACAAAGTTGCAACTCCAATCCTGCCAGCACACAGCTGCCTGTAGCATTTATACTGACCAACCTTCTGCATCCTTTCAATTCCCTGACTCTGATTAAGCCTTTACTTGTCTATCTCTCTCCTCCCTCATTCATCCTTTACAAGGCCCAGTCACCTCCTTACATTAGGGAAGAAGTTGACCTTCTTCCCTACTGCAATGGTCTGTGACTGATAAAAATCTGTCCCTGTTGCTTCCACAGGTATCCAGCTGTGTTTATCTTTGACAGCACCAGTTGCCAAGGAATGGAAGCAGCCTCCATCATCAGCCTTGTTGAAGGTGCTGGGATCATCCTCATTAGAAGTCATTAGCAAAAGCATTCTTTGTGTTTCTGAAAAGGACAATCCTCACACATCGCCATGAATAAAAGTTTAACGAAACTTTACTGGGAAGCAATCCTGATTTATGAATTCCACATTAAACCATCAAAGTACATCTGTTATATGCATCATAATGGTGACTTTTTGGATAATGATTTCTTAGAATCACAAATGATGTATGAATTTCCAGTGATTTAAGCATTTGGAAGGGTGTGAATGTGTCCTGGGTGATTGCTTATTATACTCAAATACGAGATTTACACTGTGGCCTTCCTTCCTTTAGTGCCTCACAATCTAGAAATGTAATCATACAATGAGGGCAAAGAATTGCTACCCTAGGAGGGATATTTCAGCTTGTACTAGATAGCCTTCTCTTCTCTTTAATTTAGAGTCTTGCAATATATTGCCGAGATGATGAAAGATTTTCAAAGAATTTAGCAGGAGAAGAATTTAAATTCATGCTCTGGTGTCCATGGAAGACTTGGTGTTAGAAGAATGGACTCTGGTACTACATTTCTCATCCTCAGCCCTGACCCTTCTTGAACCCCTGAAGTTGGAGTGGCCTAAAGGAAGCAAGCACACTGGGAATATCATGGCTCTATTCTTTCTGTGTGTCCTAGTCTCTCACTTTTAGTCCTTTGGGTATCTGATGATACCTAGTGAAAGACTAACTGCATTTGAGCAGCCTCTAGCTCTGCTCCTGCCTTTCTGTCCTCCAGCCTCTGCTGCAGGAGGAACCTTCAGAGCTCAGCCCACATTCTTCATCTTATTCTGGTGGCAGCTACATTTCTTTCCGTACCTTAGTTTTCAAAGGGCAAAGAGCATTATATCCTTGGAGTCAAGCATTATTTCTGGCACAAAAAAGGATTCCAAAGAGTTTATGGACCAGCCAACTGAAGTTCTTACTCTAACCAGTTATTAATTTATATTTGGATTAAAAATCAAGGCTGAGACAACTTTTCTTTCTTTCATTCAAAACACACATATACGTATGTGTGCCTGCATGTGCATATACACACAGACTTGAGATGAGTTAGCAAGAATATTATATAAAGTACTGAAAAATACACAAGTACGATCACAGGCTCTTTGTTCCCTCTGGGCTGGGAGCTTGGAACCAAACACTGGAGATGATGGAGATGTAACTTACATTTTGCAGCTGCACATGGCTCTTCACCAAGCTCTCTGACTTTGTCATCATGCTGGATGCTTTGAGGCTGTAGTTTTTACCATTTTGTGACTCTTTCAGCTGCTCCTGGATTTGTTTAGCTTGTTTCCTGCAGGTATAAATAAATGCATAAATATTTACATATGTTTATTTTATGCTTAATTGTTGATGTCCATTCATTCCCAATGGTTACATTTGTCATTTGCTAAAATTAGATAAATTTACAAACAAAGAGCCATTCTCTCATTTTCAACTCTACCAAGAAATATCTCCAATGAGAAAGAACCTGATATTATCAGGGATTTATAATCAATGGCACTCCAAAGACAGATAGAAACCTAGCATGTTTTCCTGGCCTCTGTGGTTTTAAGAGGTCCCTGACCCTAAGTGCTCAGCTACAAAGAATTGGAAATACTACTGAGATGTGACTGGCAGCCCCATAAAACTTACTTACAAAGGTACAGCAACACAGATATGTGTGGCTTAAATGCACAGCTTACATATATAAAAGTGTATATCTTCAGTCTTTCACAATTTGGGTAGAGTTCATTTATTGTTACCAACACTTCAAACAATAAGGATAGTTAGCTTTTAATGGCCCAGTGATTACATAATAATGTGCGACATCCTATTTTAAGTGCTTTACAAGTATCAACTCATTTATTTTTTAAAAAATAATTCGATTTGATGAGGCAATATTACAACTATGTAATAGATGAGAAGTTGGAGGTACAAACAAGTTAAAAGCTTTTGCCCAGTGCCACAGAATCACTGTTAGTGACTGACTTTCATCCCATACACTCTGGTTGTGTATTGTGCACTCTGAATCACCACTAAGTAAAGCCACTTGCATATGGCTCCTCAGTTGCTAAGACGGGAGGCTATTATTCTAGATTTTTGGACTCCAAATAAAGTGCTCCTGCCTGCCAGTGTGAAATGACTGTTTGGATCAATTGGTATGTGTACCAGAAGGGGAGAAAAGCTTTTGCCTGATTAGCTGAACTGCCCCAAGAGATTCATAGCAAGTATCAACAGCATGAGGATAAGTATGCACAGAAACAGCTTTGCAGAATCATATCTTTGAAGTGTGCTTCTCCCTTAAGTTCTCTGACAAGGAACTAAGTTGCTGCACTAAATCTCAATGGTGAAACTCTCAGGCAGGCAGCCTTCCCAGAGGATGGGTGCTGGTATCACAGGGGCTGGGATTTGAATCCTGACAATGTCACCTGCCAGTGTTACTACCTAATAATTACTTATACTTCCCTGAGCCTGAGTTTTCTCATGTGTAAATGGAGTTCATAAGAGCTTTCTTCCATGGATTCTGTGGCAACTAAATGTGATAGAACATGCAAAATGTCCCTTTTCTTTCCAATCTGCAAGAAGCTGAGTCAGTCTTGTAGTCAGATGCTTCACTTTTCTCAAATCATCAGTATTTTCTAAAGGATGTGAGAATCATGAGCATAAAGTCCCCATCTGAATTTATAACACTAATGTGATGTACCTGTTTGTTTAAGTATTTCATTTATCTTTTCAGTTATTTGTGGAGTTTTTATCCCCAAAACTTTTAGTTGTTTTAAACCAATTATAATAATCTATGTACTTCTTAACAATGCATCTGTAACCTATTTTTAAAATTAAGTCCATCCTGTGAGCATTTAAAAAGGACATTGTGGCCACAAAATCCTATCAAGGATCTATTCAAGAAGCAAATGAGAGGAGATCAGTAGGTGCTGGCCAAGTTAATCACTACAAAGCAATAAAAGGATACTTGGCACAGAAAAAGGACCCAATTGCTCTCCTAAGTATTAAAGTACCAGAAACACTATCTTCTGAGTAGTCTCATAATTCAGTGTTGGAAATATAAACTTTTAAAGATATATTCCTCGTGAAAGTATCTGACCAGATTTCCTGAACCTTTTTCTAATTTGCCTTCCTTATCTCATCTGATTGCAGTCCTGACATAGTCATTTTCCAAGGTAAGTGGTCATCTGTTTCAGAGCCTGCCTTCTCCTCCTCCCATCCCTCCCTCTCACAAGCACACACTCTTTTCCTCTTTCTTCTTCTGCTCAGCAAATGGGAAGAGAAAATGAGCAGCATCTGACCACCATACCATCAGCTCTCTCAGGAGAACAGTTGCTTTGGGAAGGTCACCATAGGCACATTGCACCCAGGAATGCTACCGGCCCAAGGCCAGCAATGAGCCTTCACAGGCCATGAGTTTGAAGTTTCTCTTGTCCAAAGAATGAGAAAGACAAGAGATGGATATTTTAGAATGGTATGCATCACAATCTTGCGGGCAGACACTATCTTGTTTCATAGGTTGAGTTCCTGAGGAAGTAGGAATCGAGACAGCATACAGGAGTATTATTAGAGAGGAAGTTGGGAATCAATATCTACGGAAGGGATGAAAATAGGATTGGGCAGAAGGAGAAGTTTTAATGTGACCCATCTCAGTGAGGACTTTAGCAAATCCCAAGCTGTGAAGTTACCTTGGTCTTGCACTCCAATATGGAGCACATGTCTTGTTTTCCAAACCTCGCCTTGACCTGTCTTTAGAACTATTTTATCTCAGAACAGGAGAACAGGGCAGGTGACTGACAAAAACAACTCTTTCCACAGTTATCTTCTGACACCTCAGGATTTAGACCTCCTTGTACAGATGATCACAGTGGTGCCTCAGAGCATCCCCGAGATCTGAAAGCTATTACCTCAGAAGATGACCTCTTACAGAAGGAGGCAGGTTACTACCAGGTATACATTGTGCCTGTAATACCAGGCCTCATGGTTTTTTACCATTTTCCTAGTTTTGGTAATTATTAATCCAAGTTTGGCCTCCTTGAACATTTCCTTTTGTGTCCCAAATCTAGTTAGAAAGTTAAGTCATTAATTTAATTTCCAATTCTACTAAGGTCTCCTACACTCAGCTTCATCCTTCTTACCTAAAGATGTTGAAAGTAAAGAGGAATACATTAAAAATGTACAGTTTCCATATCAACTATGTCAGCCAGAATTGAAAGGTCTGTGTAATACTGGCATTGATTATGTATGGGAACGCATGGTCTCACTGTGAGTGATCAGAAGAAAATTTCTTTTAGTTCGTCTTTAGTATTGTTGGAGGGCTCAGATAACTTCATCAGAAAACCCTCTAAATTCAAGATGCTCTTCGTTCTTGCCTCATCATGTTTCCTACCAACACACCTGAATCAGAGATAAATTTTGCTTTAATATTTCTTCTAATTAAGTGACAAGAAACAATTATACTTTGTACACATCAGTAAGGGAGATCAAGGTGTTGTTTGCCTATCCTGTTATCCCCAAGTTTTTAGAAAGGGAATAAAACATCCAGTAATTCACAAAAGAAATTTGTGCCAGGGTGTTATGAAAATCTACTGTTTGAAGAACATAGATTAAGAGCTTCGTACAGGGGTATAGCATTTCTCTCAGCCAAAGGAAAACAAAGACCATGTCTGGCAACACTAACAGAAGAAATATATACACTCTTGGCACCTGGTAAATAGGATTCAGTTGGAAAGAGCTTTGATTCTTACTATTCTTAACTTTATAGATACCTATTTAATTTTACTACAAATGGGCCCTGGGTGGGCAGGCAGAAGGACAGCCTCCCAGTACTGCCCCCGCCCCGCCAGCTTGGGGCCCTGACCTCCCATGATGAATCTGACATAGACTAGTGTTTGCATTAAAAGCCCCAACCCCTCATCAAGCCCCAGGAAGAGCTGCTGGCCTCAGAGCCCATGTGCTGTCCTGAAGGCAGAAGTCCTTGGGTTTCCAGTTGTTCTCTGTTCTTGTGATAATCACGATCAGTTTTCACTTAAGTGTGGTACACCTACAAATTATACTCTCAAGATAAGCAATTCACTACTTCTTCATAGTAATTTGCCTATTGTTTTACACAATTTCTATCTCCTCTTGAGAGGAGACCTTTCCTACACCTTGCCAGTTTTAATGAGTTGTCACACTGTCTGGCGCATGTACTTAACTTTGTGGCCACACAGCTTCCAAGTTCTTGTTTGGAGGACCAAGGGTGTTAGCAACAGCAAACCACCATTGAGCACTTAGTCTTCTAACACTGTGCTGTGTGTGTGTGTGTGTGTGACTTACACTATTATTTCCTTTAGTCCGTAACATAATTCTATAAAGGGGGTACTGTTTCTGTTCATTTTTTTAAAAACAAACAAACAAACAAACAAAGAGAAAGAAACAGACCAAGAAATGTAATGAAATTTGCCTTAAAACACAAAACGCAAGTGGAAACCTAAGGATGTGAACGTAGCTGTGGATGACTGGTATAAAACCATGAGCACCATGACACATGGAGACAATTTGGGAGGGATGCTGTCAGAGAGGTACACTCCTGGCTTACTTTGGACAGGTTACTCATCTACCAGAGCAGTCTCCCATCCACTAGAGTACAATAGGTAAAAGTATGGGATTAACACTAGAACTGGTGAGCTTCAAAGACCTTTATCTACAGCTCCTACTTTGTGGTATTGAAAGTTTAATATTTTAAAATAAATCTCAACATTTTTCTGTTATAGTTTGGATCTGAAAAGTCTCCGAAAGCCCATGTGTTAAAGGCTCAGTCCCAGTTTAGAGTTTGGGACGAGTGGTAGACCTGGTGGACAGGTGGAGAATGGTGGAAGATTTCCTGCATCTGGGAGTGCCCTTTGGAGGAAAGTGGGTCCCTGCCCCTTCCTGTCTCTTTCTGCACTTTCCACCACGAGGGGGCCACACTTCCTCTCTCATGTGCTTCTGCCATGATGTGCTGGCTCATCTCAGCACCAAACACAAGGGGCCAAGTGATTGTGGAGTGGAATCTACAAAAGTGCAAACCTAAAACAAAAATCAAAAAGCCAACTTTTCTTCTTTGTAACTTGAGTATCTCAGATATTTTATTACGCTAAGACTCACACACTACCTGAAAATTGCAGTGATATGACACACAACTGAGATTATTGTGAGAAATCGGGGGCTGACACATGAGAAGCCCAGTGCGCCTGGGAAAGGGTACGTGTTCGAAAACTGCACAGCTACAGCTATCCCAGCCAAGAGCTGTCTTGAAACAAGAAAAAAGATATTAGGTAAAGAATGAAGGCAATCTGAAAGTACGGTCATTAGATACATTGTAACAGTATTATCCATTATCTGTGACAAGCACACTGTTCTAATATAAGACATTGATAAGGGGAAAGTGGGTCTTTGGTACATGAGAACTCTCTGTACTATTCGTAAACTAATTCTGAAAATCCAAAGCTGTTCTAAAATTATTTTAAAAATCATAGGCACTATCTTTGTCTCTGTCTGAGTTCTGTTAAGTCATAATTGTAGTTCTCTAAAAAAAAAAAATCAACATACACAACATGCAGACAGGTATTCTAAACTATATCCAGAAATGGATCCATTTTTAGAGGAGCAAATGGTTAGAATAATATCAGCCCAATTACACGTAAAAAGCAATTACATGTTGGCTTACATTTCAGACAAGCTGTAGAACAAAATCTCAGCCAACTTTTTAAAGCTCAAGTATTCAAAAGGCTAACGATTTTATCTGCATTTTAAGTGCACATTACATCATTTCCATAAATAATTATCAGAATTCATTGGGAGAAAAATACAAATACAAAGTACCTTCATCTGCTGAAGTTCTAGTTTCCTGGCAAGTGAAATTTAGGGCATGCTCCAGATGCATATACCAATTAATCCAACTAGTTTTTAGTATCCTGTCTTTCTATTTGGCTAAAGCTTTTAGGGTTTAGGGATAAAAACAGAATGAAGTGAAAGGTTTTTTGTTCTGTATGTTTTTTCCTCTAATTGGGTGGAAATGTTTAGGTTTACCACACTGGGCCCCTGTTCAGAATAGTTAGCCCTTCAGTGGCCAGCAGACACTGGGCATTTAACCAACTCCTGTAAATGATCCACTTTGTGCATTAAAGATAACAACCATGCCCACACATCCATATGCAGCAGATGACACACTCACTGCAGTCTACACAAAACTTCAGTCATTTGCTGATGGCTGCTAGACTCATTTGCACAGAAATCCTCTGCTTGGAGAAGAGACTGAGAAAGTAAAGAAAGACCAAAGACCAGCTGCTTTCTTTGAGAAATGACCTTTTAACACTTGAGAGAAATGGTCTTACTTGCTTTTGAAGTAGAATGCTGCACAGAACATGCCCACGATGACAATTCCAAAGATGATACATGAAATTGACAGCACCTGCCTTTGATAAACTTCTTCACTCTCTGTGAATTTGAAAAACAGAATTAGAATAGATGCTGGGAAGGCACAGCAGCAACAGTCTCCATCTTGGTACTTCCAAGTTGGTAGAAGTCTTTCAAAGTCATCTTTTTTGTTCCTGTTATAAATAGAAAAAGCCATGAGCAAGTTATTATGGTTCAGCTGCTTTGCAGAGCTCTGAAGGATATCTGGTTATATATATATATATGTGTATATATATATATATATACACACACACACACCTTTTTTTGCAGTGGTGTGATTAAATCAGAACTCACACATAATACATTTATACATCATAGTATCAAAAATGACTTTAAGACACATGGAACTCATGTCTTTCTGAAATTGTGGTGGCACCAAAATTAAAGAGCTACAGAAGCAACTATATCCATCTGATCTTTCCTGATTCAGTAATGGTTTCTTTCTTAGTTTTTGAGATGCTAATGTTCTTTGGTTTCTGATTCTCATTCCGTCCTTGGCTATGGCCGCCATTCATCTTCCTGTGGTTATGATTGACATCACTCATGAAAGGAAATTTCAATATACAAGCAAATATTTTATTTATCTACCCACTGTTTGAACTCTTCAGTGTCATTCACAGTAGATTTCAGCCTCCATTGCCAAGGTAGTGTCTTACTGCTTTATTTCATTAGAAAAGAAAACACTCAAAAACAGACATTTCACTTTCCAGCCACTAAAGTTTACACTCTCAGCTCCGTTTCTGAATATCTATTGAAACGGTGCTTCCATCTTATCAAGAGTTTTGCATCCATAGACCCTAGTGCTTTCTCTCTGAAGATCCTCCTCTTGTCTTCATCTCTCCCTTTAAACAGCAGAGGCCATAACACACAATTATTCATTCACTCACTTACAAACACCCTTGACTAAGCACCCTCTCTTTCCTTTTCACCTGGCAGAATAACCAGGTATGAATCCAAGAAACTGCCTTCCCACGTATACTCAAGTAGCTTGGAATGAGGGAAGAAGACTGTACAATCAGGCAGGCAGGTGGACATCAACAATGATAATCACAGTGCTCAAAGTATGTGTGGAAGTCATGACAACCTCATCAGCCTGCTTCTCAGGATCCTGATGCACATCCACACCATCTCCACTTTACTTCAATATCTGACATAGAAACATATTCACCTTCCATCATTCTCAGGTTATCCACGGTTCACTGTTCGAATAGTCTAAGAAAAAAATCTAACTACCAGATTAGAAATAATTAAAAAGCTAGGAAGTGGGGATATCTTTTTTTAAATGGGTGGGGGAATAAGAGATGAGCCCAGGAAGGCAGGGGGAGAAAGGAGAGGGAAAGGGGCTGGGAAGAAGGAATCAAAGAGGAAAATGATGAAAATAGAGCTTTTGCAAATAGGAGGACCGAAACTAGGAAGACAGGGGTGAGGAGTATAGGGTAAAAAACAAGAATTAAAATATATAATGTACATGCTTAACTCCCCACAATAGATGTAATCAATATTTGTCGTAAACAGGTGCTAATAAAAACATGAAAAAAAAACACTCAACAATGTTAACATCAAATCATGATTAAAAATCTCAAAACTAGACATGGTCAGGTATGATCAGAAGTAAAAGCAAGACTGTCTACTCTGACTTCTATTCAAAACTGTATTATACTGAACATTTTTTTCCTTTTTTATTGAGTTTATTGGTACTTTTAAAGTATGCAGTACAGTTACATTCATCATTGGGATCTTGTACCTCTACATGACATATCTTGGTTCTCATTTTTTCCCCTTGTCCCTGCCCTCCCTTCACCCCTCCACCCTCCCCTATTTACAAAGACTTTGTTTCCATTTTTTATTTTTCTCATATTTTTTCTTTTCCCTTATTTCCTTTCCCCTTCCCTTCCCACTTCCTCTACGCCTTTAGCCCTTTTCTTCCTATTTATACTGAACATTTTAGTTAATGCAACCAAGAAAAAAAAATAGAAGTAAGTCTATGCCTTTGGGAAAACAAAAGAAAAAAATTGTTTTTGCAGTCAATATGATCACCTATGCAGAAAAACTGATGCAATCCTCAAAAGACCTAGGATTACTCCTAAGTAAGCTTAGCCATTTTGCAGGGTATGAGGTTGAGGGGTAAAAACATTGATAAGATGTTCAATAGCACAGATAATAAGAAATTGAAAAAAAATCATACCACCACAAAAACATGAAATGCAAAGAGATAAATTTGATAAAACGTGTATTAAGACTTTACTGAAAATCTAAAACAATCACTGAAGGAATTTAGAAAACAGGTCAATGAAGAGATGTATCATATTTATGGGTTTAGAGATTCAATATTAAGATATTCTTCCCAGGGTGATAGATTTAGCATAATCCTTATAAAAATCTTAGGAGGCATTGTTTGTTGTTGTTGTCATCACAGACATTAACTGGCTGACTGTAAATGTTATATGGAAATACAAAAGATCTGCAGTAGCTGAAACAAATTTTCTCAAGACAAAAAGTTATAAAACCTTATTCCAAGATTTGTTATAAAGCTAGTTTAATAAAACCAATATCAACCTAATTCTAGTCCAGTACATCACTGGAACAGACAAGAGGTTAGAAATACCCTATGATCAAACATATGTCCTAGTTGATTTTTGACAAAGGATCATTTTTATTAAAGAATGACCTAGCACAAATAGTAGAGCTATGTCCTCAAAACTAGCTTTAACCACAACCTCATACCTACACAAACACAAATTCACAAATGGAAACTTTAAATGTAAACTTTTAAAGCATGAAAGTACAAGTAAACATAGGAGAAATCATTAATACCATGAGTTTGAAAGGATTTCATAACTAAAATACAAAAGATACAAACTACAAAGTGTTTATAGATTCACAAGGTGGATGTCGCTACCAGTTACAACATTTGCTCTTTAAAGACATGTATGAGAAAGAACACGAAAGGCAAAGTCTGAGAAAAATATTTGCAAAGCATATATTTTAACAATAGATTTGTGTCTATAATATGTAAGAAGATGGAGAGAGGTGAATGGAGGAAGAGGAGGAGATATTAAAAAGAACTGAGATATTATTATGTACATGTCCCAACTCCCCATGGTGACTGTAATCATTATAAACTGCACGCAGATACTATGTAAAAAAAATAAAAATAAAAATAAATCACTACTAAATAGATAAGCAACTCAATTTAAAATGGACAAAATATTTAAATAGAAAAAAATGATTTACATAGATAGCTGCACAAAGATATATAGGCCAGTAAGTAACTAAAAAGACACCTAACATAGTCATTATAGGATTTCAAATTAACATATAATGAGGTTGATGGGACTGTATAAGGCTCACCATACAAAGTGTGGATAAGGATATGGAGCAACAGAGATCTAAAATTCTCATGGACTTCTATGGAACTGTAAAGTGATGTATCACATTAAAAAGCAGCTTCACAGAAAGTTAAATGTACACCTATCTTATGATCCTTTCCTAGCAATTTTATCAACACCGATGACAGGATAATTTCACTGTATTTTCAAATGTCTACAAAAACTTTATTTATAACAAAAAAATTGTGAAATAAGACAAGTGCCCTTTAGTAGGTGACTGGGTAAACAAAGAGTGGAATGTCCAATCAACGGAATAGTATTCATCAGTGAAAAGAAAAGAGCTACTGATATAATGAACAGCATGGTGCAATCTGAGAATAATTATGATGAATGAAATAAGCCAGACAAAGAAGGTACTTGCTGTATAAATCCAATTCTATAACATTTTGGAAAACAGAAGCTACTCTATCAATGGAAAGTATAGATGCAAATATCTCAGATCAGGGTTATGGAGGAGTGAGCAAAAGAGCTATGAAGTGACATGAGGAAAGGTTTGGGAGTTGTAGGCACTGTAGGGTCATCGTCCCAATTACAATGATAGCTTCATGGGTGAATATTTATCGCAAATTTTACCAAATTACAAATTTCAAATGAGTGGTTTATTTCATGTGGATTATAGCTGCTATTCAGTTTTATGATGTGGCCTAGCTCTATTTAGCACTGATGCTAATAAACAGGCAGAAGAGCAGCTGAGGGTGGCCCATGAACACAGACTTTGCCATGCAGTGGCTTTCGGGATTCTTCTAGATGCTGCAGAAGGTTCCAGGACCAGGTGAAGAGAGCCCATGCATGTCACATTCGTCTAGCAGTGAAACTGATGTCAGTGCTTCATTGCTAATTAGGCAAGTGAGTACCAGACCAAACAGAGGGGATCATTTTCTACACTTACGAAGCTGAAATTCTACAGCCTATTTTCCTCTTTTTCTGAGCCTATACACTATAATCTCTCTTTAAATACAGCTGCACATTTCCTAATTCTTTTTCCTGTGCACAAGTATTGCATATAAATATTTTAGAAGTAGCTTTCTCTTCAGGCACTATTTACATTTACAATTTACAATCATTTACAATTATTCCACATTTCTGAGTAAGTGAAAAAGGACAGCATATAATCCCAGTAGGCCTGAGTGGACATTTTAAATTTGCAAAGATTCAAATGAAACAGATACAAAATACGTCATCAAGACCTTGTTTGGGTATATTATCATCTTTAAAAAAATGTCATCCTTCCTATTCCTATTGTAAGCTCATTAAAATTTCCAGGTAAACTTGGAAACAACCAAACAAATAGAGAACAGTTGTACCAATTCCAAAGCGTTTCCTTAGACTTCATTGTTGTGAGTTGACAGCCAGTATGGAACAAACATAAATCATACACGATCAACTCCCCCATCTGCCTCTGCCAATGAAAGGGATTTTGAAGATGACAGCTGATAAAACTCATTAAAACGGGATAAAACAAAAATAAGACCATCCAAACTAAAGGGAACGACTTCCATGTAAAATCTGTGTGGTGGATTTCTATTTGAAGCTACTCAAAAGTAGCCTAGGGTACTGCAAAAAAAAAGTCAATCTGTGTTTAAATCAAGAGTGAAATTAAAATTGCAAAGACTGCAAAGCAGTGTGCAGAGC